GCGAGAGAGCGAGAGAGCGAGAGAGAGCGAGAAGAGCGAGAGCGAGCGAGAGAGAGCGAGAGAGCGAGAGAGCGAAGACGAGAGAGAGCGAGAGAGCGGGGAGCGAGCGAGAGAGAGCGAGGGGGGAGCGGGGCGAGGGAGAGAGCGAGAGCGAGAGAGCGAAGGGGAGAGAGCGAAGCGAGCCGAGAGAGAGCGAGAGAGCGGAGGAGCGGGAGAGCGAGAGGGGAGAGCGAGAGAGGAGCGAGAGAGCGAGAGAGCGAGAGCGAGAGAGAGGGCGAGCGGAGAGCGGAGCGAGAGAGCGAGCGAGAGAGCGGCGAGAGGGGCGAGCGAGAGAGCGAGCGAGAGAGCGAGAGAGAGAGCAGAGAGCGAGCGAGAGAGCGAGAGAGCGAGCGAGAGAGCGAGCGAGAGAGCGAAGAGAGCGAGCGAGAGAGAGAGAGGAGCGCGCGCGCGCGAGAGAGAGAGAGAGAGAGAGAGAGCTAGCTAGCTAGCTAGCTAGCTAGAGCTTTATCCACCGGGGCCACAGTTGTGGGTCCCATATCTTAGACAATTGTGGAGGAAAAAAAAAATCTTGGCTTCGTATCAAGAAGTATAAAGTCCCCAGGTTATACTTCAACTTGGTATTCTTGGTAAGGTCTCCTTCAGATCATAAAGTACTGTTCTCCATGTTATAGAATGAAAACAAACTGCTGGTAAACAAAAGGACTGATGCCATGCATTAGAAAACTTGAATACGACAGACCAAAGGCACTCTTTCTAGAAAGGCCTGGAACTTGAAGGATATAATCTGTGTACAAATGGCAGACAGGAATAAAGGAGATGTATGCTGAAAGTCCAACAGGTCTGTGATTGTTTGAAAATTTTACTTAGAAATGATATTGGAAGAAAGCACTGGTTTTGTAGACTGCTGTGGATGTTGAATTCCCGAAAACCTTTGGTAGCGTTAAAAAAAATTGAAAGTACATGGTGTGGTTGGGCGAGTTAGACCTACCTAACACCGGCCAGTAGGCCTGCTGCCGTGTTCCTGTTCTAATTTATGAATTAGAGTATGCAACATCTAGCATCATTATTTCGTAGATTCAGTACACTACAGGGACATAAACGAAAACCTAATGTTGCAGTTGTCTAATTCACCAAACTGTCGGGTTTGTATACCACCGATAGTTAAGAACTCTGGGAAATGTTACCTGGACCTCCTCTTGAAGGAAGCACACTGCTTTTAGTCTGTGCCTGGCATGGGCCAGTGTACCTGCCGCAGTGCTTCTCCAGTCCCATTTGGGATAGGTAGATCACTGGACAGTGCTCTCCAGGATTTAACTGATGGTTATTTTTTTCCCCTCTGCTATCGTGCCTTAAAGGAAAACTGTCAATGTTCATGAACTTGGATCTGATAAAAAGCATAATTCATTGGCATTAATGTTGCAACAGCTCTGTATTCGATGCCAATCATGCAGTGTATCTATCATCTTTGTTAATGAGGCACCTCGTTCGTTTAGTCTAAAAAGCTAGAAAAAGTACCCTGAGCTCTTCATAATTAAGAGCTTTTACATAAACATTATGTAAAATACTGCAGTAACTGAGGGAAGCTTGATGCTTTTGATGTGTACCAGGTCCTTGGCTGATTTTTGTTGCTAACCATTTTTAGCTGATCTCTAATTTAACAATGGCTTAATGCGCAAGCATGATTACTTAAGCCATCCCAGAGTAATGCGTAAAACTGGTCAGCAGGCAGCACCTGGGCCCCGCTGGTCTCTGCCAGGGAGTCATTTATTCCCTGCATTATTTACTTGAATCACATTCTTTTCTAGCGTGACTTCCATTTCAAGAGTATAAAGCTAACTGAGGTCAAAGCAGCATAATGGCACGTTTAGACGAGATAGGATAGTTTAATGACAGGTTTTTTTTTTCTCCCTCTTCTGTCGCCTTCCAACTAAATTTGACTTTATATTCACTGAAGAGTTTATAGTTTTTAAAATATAAAGAGCACGTGGTCAAGGTGAAGACCCTTGTAGCTCGAGTTCTACGTCGCCCTTGACTTTTGAATCGCTTCCTCACTTTTGATATAAATTACTTCTGTAATTACACGCTACCTTTTTTCTCTTCCTAAAGCTATATTGCTCTATCACAGCCAGATTTAAATATCTTTAACCAGCTTGCCAGCCTCTCCTCAGTTCACAAAGTTATTACTTTGTAATCTTAATGCTTTTAACATGCCGTCCTTCCATTGTACAGAAACGTACGTAAGTCTCTCTCTCTCTCTCTCTCTCTCTCTCTCTCTCTCTCTCTCTCTCTCTCTCTCTCTCTCTCTCTCTCTCTCTCTGAAATAATTTGCTTAACTATAGTTTAACCAAACAAGCGTTAACGTGACTTGGCTGGTGGAAAACTAGTATTTTAAAATTTTCATTTGTGTAAATTGGCACCAAACTTGTGGTAATTTTTAATGACTAAGCTATTGCTCGGAGGTTGAAACTAACCAAACAGCGCCACACAATTTAGGTTTCAGTGGAACATTTTTGCTTGGAGAAAACATTCCTAATACATTTAAGTTTCCCCATTGTGTTTGAGAAGTTGGATAAAACTTTTATGGTGAAAAGTTCACTTGCGGGTTGAAGGCACTGTACAACGAGAACTGACAAAATCCAGAAAAATCTTACTCGGATTTAAAATTTAATTAACACTGAAGTATTTGTTTTATCTTCATTTAACCAGTCTTCTTTGTTGCGGTTTACATTCCATTACCCCCCCCCCCCTTCTCATGCTCTCGTTTATATTAACGTAAGTTTTTACAACTCCCATAATTTATTTCTTGCTAAACATTTCTCGCTTGCCTGTTATTCTATATTTTTTTTAACTTCCTAACTTTTTTTTTTTTTTTTTTTTTTTTTTTTTTTTTTTTTTTTTTTTTTTTTGCCTTTTTATTTTTAAACATTTCAATTTGTACCTGCCTTTCATCATAGCTCTCGCGCACTTTAATTCTTAAGGCTTTAGTTGTCCCATACGAATGACCTCTGTATTTCTCGTCTCTGCATGTCCCAGCCTGACACTTATTATTCCCTGGTCACAGGTGCTGGGGGTGTGGTATGTGGTTTATAAATTCGACACTAGCAACACATGTTTGATCTGGAACATCACCCGGGGACAGCTACCCGACACACTGCTGGTGAAGGAGACCAGACAGCTGGCTATGTTAGACCTCCTGGGTGTTGACCACACACACGCTGTCACCGCCATGGTCGACATACCCAACCCTGAGGTGCCAGGCAAGATGCGTGTACGCTGGCCCACCTGTGAGTACACATTATGGAGGCATAAAATGAGTGGTCCTTGTTAGGCAGGGTACTATTATCAAAAGTCTTAATGGTGACTATTTTTAAACATACACACAGTTGCACTAGTTTTGTATGTGTGTGGGGGGGGGGGAGTTTAATCAATGATTGTTACTGTAACGTGGTATGACAGTATTTATTTGTAGTCTTTCAGCGCTTGGCTCTCAATGACCTAGTCAAAACTGACTTCAAACATTAAAACTACTTCTATATTGTAAACTTTATAGACTGAGCCCCGCTTGTGGAATACCAGATAGTCACGGACGTAGCTAGGGAGAAGGTAGGGAAGGGGGAGACCTAGTGGTGTGGCCGCCCCGGGTAGCATGGTCCAAAGGGCGGTCTGACATGACAAGACTATCTTTTAAGATGGAAAATATTTGATACATAAAATAGTTTGACAAGTCATTTTTCAGTTTTTATAACGATGCAAGATTAGGCACTTTTTAATTTATCAATCTTAAACCCTTTCACTGACATGTGTAAAAAAAAAAAAAAAAAATATCCCCGAAGGCCGCTCTGATGAAAAATCTGCAATAAATTCACCCTAAGCCAGCAACTAGTGGGGCCAGCAAGACTGGAAAACAATACCTTATTTTCACGAATAACTATAAAAAACTGTTAATTCAGATAACCTAATCAAAGTCCAGACTTGTATGCACAGAGGTTCTGACCAGCAGCAAAGTTGAGGTTTCCTTCACCAAATTCAACTTTAACAAGAATATCAACTTGGATCAAATAATGTCCTTAGTGAAACATGCTGTGAAGATATTGTAAATAACATTGATCCAAACAGTTTTCTTGAAAGGAACAGATCTTTGGCGGCTGAAGTATGTTAAAGGCATATTTCCATAAGAAAAAAGAAACTGGAGACACTCCTACAGGCGAAGGCCAAAAAATCATTACTTTATCAAGGGGGGGGGGAGGCCTATATATATAATGCGGAAGGAAGCCCAGAATAGTAGAAAATATTTAACTTGGGTTAAATGATTTATAAGAGCCAGGGGAGACGAAAGCAATTAATAAAATACAAAGCAATCCAAAATTCCTTTCCATGGGGCAAAAACCGTATAGCGCCCTTGCTCAAACATGATGGGGCTTGCACATACGACAGCAAAGAAATGAGATACTGAAATCTCAGACTGCTCAGTAAGCCATTTATCTGACTAAAGATGGACCATCCGAATGGTCACTGGTAGAATGCTAAGCTCCCAACGTACAGGTCCTGGGTCGGATTTCTAAGTGTCCTCCCACCTGGTGCCCTTGTTAACTAGCGGTACTGTACCTGTGTGTTAGTGGATTGTGGATAGTTTATTGAAAGTAAGGTAACTTTAACTTTAAATTACCCGAGGGAGCATACCTAGTTTGTGAATACTTGTGTGAAGTAACTAACTATTCTTCACGATCACAGACGCAGATATCTTTCCTAAACAAGTTTATTCAGGTATACACAAATTGTCAAACCTAGGATAACAAGTCACACTGACTAATTTCCAACTCTTATTTAAGGCCTTTTGGCAAAATAATCTGTCGTGTAAGATAGCCGACAGAGGCTCATATTGTGGGTATGGTATAATTTATAAAATGGCTCAAATTATTTCTTAAATGTGATCGATAGCGTACAAGTGGCCACTTAATTTATCATCTCCCAGCAGCACTGACCGGCAAGGCTGACTTCGTAGTGTTTGACACAGACTACCAGAGTTATTTGGCAGTGTTTGAGTGCGATAAAGCCGGGCTGCTACACCGCCGCTCAGTCACCATACTCTCGCGCACTAGCACCATCGATGATATGTTCGTCAACAGGGTCAGTTATCACGGTTTCCATAGGGTTTACTTTCCAAAAGACTTAAGTTTACTCTTATTACTGTATATACTTTACATAAAACTTAAAAGCACTAATGAACAGCTTTGATATCCACTAAATTTTTCTTAAACTTGTTTACCAATACTAAATATAACGTCAGTCAGTTTACTGGACTTTATGTAAAAGAAAATACACTAATACAGTATAAAGAGATTCAGATGTAATTAATGTTAGTGCACTTTTTTATGCCAATAGGTGTTAATGTACTAAGGCACCCACAGGTGCGACGTCTACTAGACACTGCTGAGGTGAAGCACTCTGCTCTCTCCAACATCAGCCACGAGTCCTGCCGACGTTCAGGGTAAGCTTCAGTTCTTACGCGGAAAAGTACAGGTATGACAAGACACTGGAATGAAGATGCAAATGCATTATAAAAATTATTTTTCGCCCAATGCGGGTTTTTCAATAGTTCAGAGAATACATACGGTGAGCCAGGTAGGTTCAGGTTCGATGTCGGGTGCTTGAACATGCGTTACCCGCTTCTGTGATGTAGCAATAGAATCAGCTTAGAGTTAAAACACTATACTCCCATCGAGGAATGTTGAAACCCCACATCCTGCCACGAAAGAGATGAACCTTCCCTAGGAAAGTCGGTTAAGTGTACCTTTTGTTGCACTCGTAACTCCAGTTAGGTTACCCCCAAACTACTACATTGTCAGCATAATCCTATTCTGCTGTAGTCTGTAAGATAAGATCACATAATTGCACAATTTAAACTGCTTATGATGCCACTAAAATTACTATAATTTCATTTTCCCCTCCCCCAACAGCGGTCAATAGCCAAACTCTCTCTCATCTTCCCATCCTATAAGGATCCTGCCAGCTTGGCTTACACGCTCGTATCTGTAATTCTCAATCACTTGCTTCTTCAGTTATCACTTCATTTACCGTTGTGGATAATAACAGCTGGTGTTCCCTCAGACAACACAACTGGCACGTGGACGAGGAGCTATTCGGGCTGCTGCCGGGGGTGAACGAGGATGAGGTTCGGAGGCGGATATCTGAAGGAGTCCAGGACTATGACATCTCTCAGTTGGAGATCATTGGCGAGGGCGTAGACTCTTTCAGAGGCAGCCTAAAGAGCGCCCAGGACCAACCTGTTGTTTAGCTAACTAGTTCTCATTGCCCTCTACTCTACCTGATCTTACCTTTCTGAATTGACGCTCTGGCCTTTTGCCTACTGAAACACCTTTTGGGTGCAATATTACCTAAAGGGTCAGATTAGTTTAGAGCCTATATTGGTACTAAAGACTCGCGGGTCACTGATATGAAAGAGTAAGTTTATTAAATGTTGCTTCAAAGGCAGTTCTTGAATTTTTAAATACATTCAGAGCATTTAAAGTTGCGTATCAATAAGCTGCTAGTGTAGTCAGTCAGTACTGTTGTCAATGGAAGATCACTCTTGATGACAGTAACTTGCAGGGACCACTACATAATATGCATTGATGGCAGAGGTGATGTTGATGCTGGGAGATGTAAAATTGAAACTAAAGTTGCAATTCATGGCATCTCCTATATTAAACATTTTTAACCTGTAATACTTTAATATTTATTTTAACTACTAATTGAATTCAATGTACTACACTCATATGCCATAATCTTTCTATAGTACACCCGTAATGATATTTTAACTAACAAAATATTTTGGTATTATAATTTACCGGAAAAACGGTAAATGACAATCTCGGGTCTGTATCATTATGAAACGAGGGAAAGTGCTGAATCCTGAGGGTCATACAGTGCACAGCAAACTCCTTTATCCAAGAAAGAGAATGTCCACTTCCTTGGATTATGTAAAGTTTCAAGTTTTGAAAGCTTGTGGTGTTGGTGTATCCATAGACTGTCCTGGATTATGACCAAAGATTTGTCAAACCCAAATAGGTGGTGTCATTTATATTACTACTTATCAGAACATGTATTATCGTATTACAAATAAAGTATTAATTTTTACTTTAAATTTTTGTCACTTCTCACACTTTTAAAAATTTCGAACAGAAGTCCGTCAGATATCTGGCATTTTCAACAAAACGTAAGTCAGCAATATGCAACTGTACAAGAAAATTTATTTCCCCTGACATTCTCTCATACAGCCCCTTAAGAACATAAGAAGGAACACTGCAACAGGTCTACTGACCCATGCGGAGCAGGTCCATGGTCCCCTTCCCCCGATTAGCCCAATGACTCACCCAGTCGGGCCACAACGTTTTAGCCTCAATAACTGTGCTCTGGAGTTTATTCCACTCATCCACAACTCTATTACCAAACCAGTGCTTTCCTATATCCTTCCTGAATCTGAATTTTTCCAACTTGAAACCATTGCTGCGAATCCTGTCGTGGCTGGAAATTTTCAGCATGCTATTTACATCTCCTTTATTCCTGTTAACCATTTATACACCTCTATCATTTCCCCCCTAATTCTACGCCTTTCGAGAGTGCAGATTCAGGGCCCTTAGTCTAGCCTCGTAGGGAAGATTTCTGATACATGGGATCATCTTTGTCATCTTTGGTGACCCGGTGGCCTGGTGGCTAAAGCTCCCGCTTCACACACGGAGGGCCCGGGTTCGATTCCCGGCGGGTGGAAACATTTGACACGTTTCCTTACACCTGTTGTCCTGTTCACCTAGCAGCAAATAGGTACCTGGGTGTTAGTCGACTGGTGTGGGTCGCATCCTGGGGGACAAGATTAAGGACCCCAATGGAAATAAGTTACAGTCCTCGATGACGCACTGACTTTCTTGGGTTATCCTGGGTGGCTAACCCTCCGGGGTTAAAAATCCGAACGAAATCTTATCTTATCTCTGTACGTTTTCCAGAGCATTTGTATCCATTCTGTAACACGGTGACCAGAACTGAGCAGCGGTCTAAATGCGGCCTAACCAAGGATATATAGTTGAACAACCTGAGGATTTCTATTTATACTTGTAGATATGAAGCAAAGAATTGTTATATTTATTGCAACCAATGCATTGTTGTCTTGGTTTTAGATTACTGCTTACCAGAACTCCTAAATTCTTTTTGCAATCGGTAGTATTAAGATGTACATTTAGTTTGTGGCATGGTTATTTAACTGTCCAACATTTAGAACTTTGCATTTGTCAATATTAAACTGCATCTGCCACTTCTCCGACCATTGCATCAGTTTATTCAAATCATCCTGGAGTGCTCTAGTGTCCCAATTAGAATGAATTGGACGGCCTATTTTGGCGTCATCAGCAAATTTGCTTACGTCGCTATTTATTCCCTCGTCTGTAAATTGTGAACAACGGGCCCAACACTGACCCCTGAGGAACACAGCTTGTGACGTGCCCCTTGGGCGTCCCTTGGCGTGAAGATGCTCTTTATCAACGTAAATGAACCTCTTACCTAACTTAAATTAAATTTAAATACCCCAAACCCCCTTTCCCCTGCTTCCACCCGTCTCATCATTGTGAAAATTTTTTCCTTGTGAAATTCACTCATAGGCAAAGAAAAAGGAATTATTTGTTCTAACAGACTTTGGCATTTAGTACTTTTGTGGAAATTTAGAGCACCCCCAAAATCACCAGGTTGTGCATATTTAGTGTCCTTAACGCCCTCCCTCCCCTAGAAGAACCTTAACGAAACCTTTAATTCGGCCTAGTATATTGATACATTTAGGCCTGGATCTTTAATATTGTGACTATTAAAGTAGCCTAAGACATTAATATGAAGATGTTATATTTGGTAATGAGTAGTCATAATAGAGCAGCTAGCAACCCAGCAGCAGGTTGGAGCTAGCGGAATATATGGCTCATTCCTCTGGTACTAACGGGCGAGGTGAACAGTTAGGAAAGACTACTAGAGGACTGATTGTCATCACGCAGACCTCTCCTCTGCCTTACAAAATATCGTCTGGCAACCACGAAACGCTGACAGGCATTCCCAAAATACCGAGGATACTTCGCCTCTATGCCGGACCTCGTCCGTGAGATTAATACTCTGAGTTCAACTCTAACTAGGTGGTCACTGACCTATTGAGCAGAAAGCTAGGTAGTGGTGTGTGGTGGTGGGGGGGGGAGGGGGTTAAGACTCCCACCTTGGGGCAAGTCACACTGTTCCTAGCTCCGACTAACCCATACGAAGTCTCCCTTATTATCAACACACTAAAAAAAAACAAGACAGATTTAAATACCTTACCACCCTTTATACACAAAGTATCACAAGTGCTATCACCAATCATTGCAACACTCTTTAACAAATCCACTGAATCCTCTACCTTCCCTACAGTTCTCAAAATAGCAAGGGTCACCCTGATCCATAAAGGAGGAGACCAAACAGAGTTGAATAACTATAGGCCAATATCCAACTTACACCCTCTCTCAAAAATCTTCGAAAAATTAATTCAAGAACGAATCTACTCCTACCTCATCTCCCAAAAAATACTCAACCCCTGCCAATTTGGATTCAGGCCTAATAAAAATACTAATAATGCTATTTTACACATGCTAGAACATAAATACACTGCAATAGAGAAAAAACGTCCCACTGGGGATGTTCATTGACTTACGTAAAGCTTTTGATAGTTGACCATGACTTGCTCCACATAAAACTGTCACACTATGGTATAAGAGGGCACTCCCTCAACTACCTGAAGTCATACCTCAGAAACAGAAGCCAATGTGTACACAAATGGGGCAAACTCTTCCGCACAACCAATTACAGTTGGTGTCCCACAGGGAAGTGTCCTTGGCTCTCTTCTTACTCCTATTCCCCTCAAGGAAGGTTCCTTGATGTTGGTGAGGGGCTCTTGATTTAGGGAATTGGATCTGTGCTCCAGTTCCCCGAATTAAGCCTGAATGCCTTCCACATCCCCCCCCCCCCTAGGCGCTGTATAATCCTCCAGGTTTAGCGCTTCCCCTTGATTATAATAATAATACTCTTTCTCCTATACATAAATGACCTACTAAATGCTTCGCAATTACTCAGACCCACACTATTTGCAGATGACACTACACAAGTCTTCTCTCACCCGAGCCCAGTCATGCTAGCCAATACTGAGATTAGATTTTGCCGCTGAAGTGGCTAGTTTATTGTGCACCCCATATCCATCCTGTGGACGGTAGTGCAAGAGCATATGGATACACAAAAGGCCCAGGAACTAGGCCCCAAAGGGTTAACAGGAATACATACGGATTTATATCTACATATCTATAGTTCACTAATCTGTTACAAGCAAATTTAGGAAATTTGCTTAGTATATCTGGTATCTTATTTTCATTAATAAGATATCTTGACATGTCACATTGGTTATTATACTGTCTGTCTCTGTATTCTTCAATAAGTGGACAATTAAGCACATAGTGTTCAAGACAGTGACCATATGCTTGATCACATAATTTACATTTAGTTTGATGATCTGTGTCTCTACCAAACTGCCAGAAGTATTTGTAACCAAGCCTAAGCCTGGCCACTACAACAGTCAGTCTGTTCAAATTGCAGGTTGCTCCATAATCATACTTATCTACGTTCATGTTTTCATAGTGGGTTATAGATCTACTCAGGCTTCTAACTGCATTCCTATAACAATCATTTTCATTATTTATTTCTCTCCTAATATTATTCCTAATGCTAGACAGTTATACCAAAGTTGTATTCTACATTCTCCTTCTGGGTACTCTTCTTGGCTATTATTATTATTATAATCAAAAAGAAGCGCTAAGCCACAAGGGCTATACAGCGCTGCAGGGCAGGAAGGAAGTGAGGGCATCAGGTGAGAAAAGGGAGGTGGATGAGTAATAGGTTACGGATAACAGCGGAGCAGTGGATAGTGAAAGGGTAAAGGGCAGCAAGAGACTGAGCTAGAAAGGGCTGAGGGGAGTGCGTAAGGTATCATCATCAGAGTTTGTGGAGTAAATCAGTCGTTGTCAAGAAGTCAATGAGAGAGTCAGGATTAAAGGAGGGTCCATCAGCAAGAAGGGAAGGTAAAGAGAGAGTAGTAGAACGAAGACTGCGTTGGAGGTAAATTCTGCGTGCTCGTTGATAGAGGGGGCAGTCTAACAGAATGTGGCTAATCGATACTGGAACTTGACACTGCTCAGAGAGGTACAGGGTGCCTCTCCATGAGATACCCACGAGTAAGACGAGTGTGGCCAATGCAAAGACGGGAGAGAGTGGTCTCCCAACCACGGCACTGATGACAAGAAGACGGCCAGTAACCTATGCTCGGTTTAATAGAATGAAGTTTGTTACCAAGCAGAGTTGACCAACGTTGTTGCCAACGGGCGCGAAGGTGGGCAGTTATTGTAGCAAAATAGTCCAGAAATGGAACACCTCTATAGGAAATTGGTAGGTCATGTACTGCTGACTGCACAGCAGTGTCTGCCTGTTCATTGCCCTGTACGTCGACATGACCAGGGACCCCAACAAAAAATATCTTTATGCTTCGTAGAGATACGGCGTAGCCAAAGTTGGATACGGAAAACTAGGGGGTGAGATGTATCAAATTTTCGTATAGCCTGTAGAGCACTAAGGGAGTCTGAGACTACCACAAATGATGACACAGGCATAGATGCAATACGAATAAGTGCTGCAAGAATGGCATACAGTTCAGCAGTAAAAATGCTAGCCGAAGATAGTAAATGCCCCCACACGACGCTGTCCAGAAACACTGCTGCGAATCAGACGCCGTCTGAAGACTTAGAGCCATCTGTGTACACAGCGGTGGCATGAGAATCGGAGTGGAAGTGATCAAGAAAAAGAGAGCGGGAAGCCACCATAGGCAGTTGAGCTTTCGAGCAAGGGAGTGAGAAAGAACAGACCCGAACAGCTGGAACTTCCCAGGGGGGTAGGGAAAAGTGAGATGCTACATGAACATATAAAGGTGGTAACTGAAGGGAAGACAAGAGTGAATGTAGGCGAAGAGAAAAGGGACGGAGCAAACAGGGGCGGCGAACGAATAAAGAATGTCTACTAGTATCGGTGACCATTCTATAAATGGAA